TTGTCACTTTACTCCAACTGCGCAATGGGCCGCCCCTTGCTTGCAGTTGCCTAAGGGAACGTTTAAGCAGTAAACGGCTCCAAGGCATTTAAGCGCCTGCAGTGCATGGGCCGCAAGATCACGTTTCTTAATTTCAATATCGTATGTTAATTTTAATATCATTTAATACTTTAATATTTAACGGCGGTACCGAAAGCGCCCACTAGTGGAGTCTACCCCAGAACATCGGAGCTAATTTTCGACTGACGCACTTTGGTCATCTATTATGCAATATGTTCTGCAGAAATAATGCTGTGTAGTGACAGACAAAATTGACTATCTAAGCTAAAAAATTTTTTCCCTCTACTTTTTGTTTTTTGCTTTCTTGTTCTTTCTCCTCATCATCTTTTAGTCCCTTTTACTGTTTTTCTTCCTCTCCCTTTTTTCTATTTTCTTTTTTTGATTCTTCTTCAGGAAAAATTTACCAACGACATCCAAGAAACCTCAAGTATAACCCAGAATGCATTGGCCCTTCCGATAAACAAGATCTGATCAACGAGAGGTACAGCGAAAGCAATCGACAGTCCAGAGAGTAGTGATATGGGAAATTACGGAGAGCCTAGAGAAATGAATCATTCTGCTATCAATGCAAGTTAAGTCTTGGCATTATTCCCCACTATCAAATCTTCGCGAAGTACTTGCACGCATTCTACGGAAAAACATCGCTGAACATCACCAGAAAAAAAGGTAAGCTGGCGAAGAAGCTATAATGCTATTTACAGAAAAATCAGACATTCCAGATGACAATGACACCGCATCAGGTATATCGGATAACTAAGAGGAAAAGAGTCCCAGGCATTTCACCACATTCAGTTGCTTGCCACGGCTACAAACCTACCTTTCAATATTATAGCTGTATTCGAAATTTAAATCGTGGTCATACTTGTGCTGACTATTCGAAGGGACAGTTCAGCTACCAAGTGGGTCAAGGCGAAATGCAGCCACAATAGGCTCTTCCGTCAGAGAGTATGGTCGTAACCCTGGTCCATGCTGGCAACATCACGCCAGAATACCACGATGTCTCTACTGTTCGCAAATCACAGACTTCCTATTCGTTTATCATCTGATTGCACCGAAGCAACGTGGTATTAGTCCTTTGCTCACAGAAATCTGCGGTTAAGACAAAGATTGCCCCCTTTAAACAAATCCGAACCCGCAGCACCTCCGGAATTCAAAGCTGACCTCTTAAGCAAGGTGCAACCACGCAACCATCGAAATTAAAAATTACAGCATGAGATGGCCATATGATTTCCATCAATATGCATATTTCTATTATTCCTAACCCATGAAGCATTGTTAAACATGCTCTAACGATAAACGTACAGGCCTCGGTTCAAAGTCCCAGTTGTGAATCACTCGAGCAGGTATCACTGCCGTTTCATTCCAGTGACAACGTCCACAGTAGTAGTACCCGCTGTAATCACAAAGGATTGCTGGCTTCACTTCAGGATTGACAGCGAACTCTAAAATAATCAATTTCATCTACCCATAAAAAATAACAGCTTTGTTCACTATCATCAGACACACGCATGGTGTTCTCCAAAAAGTAAAATTAGTAGTATTTGATGCCGGCGAACAGTATAAGATACTGAAGCTCAAACTCACTCAAACCGCATCGCACGGTCCTCCAACCGTTAAAACATACAGTATCCGCAATGCAAAGATTCATACCACATCACTGTACCAGTCAAGCAAAAACTACTTCGAATACAAGGCAAACACTAGCTTTGAATGCTAATATCCCAAATACTAAACATAATGGGTACTTTCGTTAATATGTTTACGCATAAGAAAGGAGGTTTAGTCGCGGGTCTTACAAAATGTTTTTTTTCGATCCAGTAGTGTAGTACATTGTTACATCTATAGCCGATCCATAAACAATGGAGTCATGGCAAACTTAAAGGTACTGTCAAATCGCCTAAAGCAAGGGGA